ACGGGCCCTCCTCGCGCGACCAGTTGGCCAGGAGCGCGCAGGCCGGGGCGGCCAGGGGAAAGGCGGGGTCGAGCAGGCGGCGCAGCAGGTCCGGCATCCCCTCCCGCAGCGCCCCGGCCGCCCCCGGCTCCGCCGCCAGGTTGAGCAGCGCGTGGAAGGCGGCCTCGGCCAGCGCCGCCTCCGGCTCGCCGGTCAGCGCCAGCAGCGCCGCCAGGAAGTCCGGGCGGGCGAGCAGGAGGCGGCGGCCCTCGGCGCCCCCCGTCAGCCCCAGCACGAACTGCACGGCGCGGCCCTTCAGGTCCCCGCGGGCCTCGGGCCGGAGGAAGGCCAGCAGCTCCCGCGCCTCCGGCTCCTCCATGCTGGGCGGCCCTTCCGCGATCGCCCCGCTCCGCCAATCCGCGGCCGGGACCGGAGAGGGGGCGGAGCGGGAGAGGGCCCGGAGAGCTCCTCAGCCAATCGGAAGCGGCCTTGTGGAGCGTGGCCTCTCGGGAGTTGAAGTCCGGCTCCCGGCTGCATCCCCGGCGGAGCCTCCTCCAGTCCCGCTTTCCCCGAGGAGCCCCTGATGATGGGGAGCCTTTGGCCCGACACCCAGAGAGGAGCCCCGCTCGCCCCTGGAGACGGGCTCCCTCCGCGAGAAGCGCAGGAGGAGTCCGGGGAAAGGGCGAGGCTGCCGGGCCCCCAGGCAAAATCGGAGGGCGGAGGAGAGGAGATCGCGGTACCGACGCTCAAGGGGCTCCCCAGTCTGGCCTTACAAGGTCGGGATCCCGCATTGGGATTAATGGCCCTTTCTGCGCCGTTTCCATCCGTCTCAAGTAGGGCATTGGCTGTGCAACACCCCGTCTCCCCCCCCTCTCCCCTTCAGGCCAAGGCCAGTAGCTGCTTTCATCCCTTCTCCTCCTGCATCGTCGCAACGGGGGAGCCCAGTTTGAACGGTTCTGCCTGGCAGCCCCCCCTCCCCCGCCCCCTCCGTGGCCCCGTCCAGCCATTAAAAGCAAACGGCTTAAAATGCCCTTTGAGAAACCTTCCACAGGAAGCTGAATTGGTCGGAAGTGGCACCAGGGGGCAGAATCAGGTGGGAACTGATGGCTCAGCACACCCTCATATACCCCTGGTTGCATCCAAGAGATTGTGAAGCTAGCATGCTGGCCTCGGAGAGGTCAAAGATCGCCAGGTGGGTTATCAAAACCTTTCCAACTGTCCCCTTGTTACCTACAGGCTCTGCCTCTCTACCCTCCTCCTGCTTTTGCCCAGGATTGCCCTGCCCAACCGCCACGGCTTTNTCCTGCGGCTGGAGGGATGCCAGCCCTCTCTCGCCCAGACTGTAGAGTCACTGGGCAGTGCCAAGGAGCACCTTCGGCAGCAAAGGAGGTGCTGGGATTTCGGTGCCCAAGTGCCAGGACCAGCGACACAGAAGAAAGTTCTCTCTCCCCCACCAGTGGAGGGTGGGAGCTCCTTCCACTTTCATGCAATTCCCCCCAGCAAGACCTCCACCTCCTCCCCCTCCTCCTCCTCCTGGTCCAGGTGCTGCAGCTGCTGCTCCACCTCTGTGGGGATCTCCACCTCCAGCAGGTTTTCCATCCCAGCCTCCGGCTCGTCACCAATCAGGACCTGCTCAGGACAAACCGGCCGAGGCCTCAAATTCCCTGCCCCCTCCTCATAAGGGGAGGAAGGTCCCAGAGCCCCCCTTGACCCCACTCTCACCTGGATGAGCTTCTCGCAGGCAGCACGGACCCCACCGTCCCCTTCCCACTTGTGCAGCTCTCGCAGGACAAAGTAGGTGCCCCTCTCTCGCACCAGGAGCCGCCCTGGCTTGGTGGCTGTGAGCTGTCAAAGAGAGGGGGGGGGGTTACTGGCTGCGGGGCCTCTAACAGGGAGGCCATTGGCCTGGGGGTTTGCATCTCCGGGAGGGTCGAAGGAGGACCTTCTTGAGGACAGGAAACCTCTGGATCTCTTCCCCAAAGCCAGAAAGGGAATACAGCAGCCTGGCTCAGTGTGGCAGGCTGTGTGTGTGGGGTGGGTGGGTGGGGGTCTCCCAGGCCTCTCCCTTGCCATCATACCCCACAGCACAGCTGAGGCAAGGGAGGGGGCCAGGAGGCAAAGGACGCCTCCTTTCCAGAGTTGCACAAAACGGGCAGAGGGGGACACACTGGGGGGAGGCGAGGGGGAGACTCGATTCATAGGGGTTTGTGGGAGATCCTTGAGATCTTGGTAATCTGAGTGAGCCCCGTGGCCCAGAGGAAGCCGCTTCCAGGGCCCACTTGGCAGTTTCCTAGGCACAGAGCAGACCCCAAGGACCCTCCCTGCAGCCCACCTGCCAGGGGTTAAATTCAGCAGGTCCTGACAGGAACTGGTAGCAGAAGTTTCCAGTAAACCAGCACATGCCACCTCCGGCTGGCCCAGGAGTGGGGAGGGAATGGGGATTTTGCAGTACCCTCCCTTTGCCACGCCCACCCAGCCACGCCCACAGACCCGGCAGTAAAGAATTGGATTTCCCCCCTGCCCACCCACCAGCAGGAGCGTCTCCAGGAGCGTCTTGCGAATGTCAGCTTCCGGCTCCCGCTGCTTCTCAGCTGGCAGGTACTGCAAGTCCAGGGGCAGCCCTGGGGGGTTCAGGAGGGGGGGGTCAACGGAGGGCACAGGGCAGGGCAGCCCTCAAGGGTCTCTCTGCGCCCCCCTCCCTCCCTCCCGGGGAAGGCACCCACTTTCCATCTCGTCCTCCGGGAACTCCTCGGGGCCGGCCAAGGGGAGGAGGAGGAAGGGCAGGAGGTCCACCTGCTCGCTCAGCAGCCACTCGTGGTGCCCTGAAAAGCAGACAGCCGTGACGAGGCGGGACCGGCGCTCCTCGCCCAGAGCCCAAGCGTGGCCGGCGGCACTCACGGTGGTCGAAGCAGCAGTTCCGCAGCGTTCTAGCCACGCCGCGCCGCCGGAGCGCCGAGCCCGCGTCCTGCACGAAGGGCAGCAGCTTCTGCACCACGCACCTGCGGGAAGAGCCGCTCAGCCGCCGCGCCGCGCGTGTCCGGAGCCCTCGGGGCAGCCCCGCAACCCTCCCCCGGCCCTCACCCGGAGCGGTCGAGCAGGGCGCGGCGGGCCTCCGGGAGCTGGCTCATGTTGGCCAGCAGCGAGCCCAGGTGGTGCCA